CAGAGAGTGTCTCTTCTCAGACCTCCAGGCCAGGGCAGGACCCCTCCTCCACCATCCAGCCCTACTCTGCCTTGGCAGTGCGAGAGGTGTTGACAGCCTGCTAACCACAGGCAGAGTGCCCCTGGCTCCAGCCATCGCCTCCCCCAACTTCTCTGGACACCTGACACGGCCGCCGCCTGCCCTGGGTCAGGGCCCAGTGCCCAGGACCTGTTAGCCAGGCAGCTGTTGAGATTTCCGGTGTGGGGGGCCTCTCAGCCACTTTCTCGTCTGGAATCTCCTGGCCAAGTGTGCACTCTTCTGGGGTCTGTGTCTGGATGTTGGAGCATCTGTCATGAGAATGCGGGGGGAATGCAGTAGGGACCAGGTGGCCTGGGGTTGCCTTGATCCCAGAAGGCCAGCACAGGCCCTAGAGGGTTGCCCTGAGCTCCAGGAATGAGGGAAGAAGTGGCTGCCCATTCTAGGACAGGGCTTGGCAAACGCAAGTGACAAGGATCTGCGTAGTCTCCTCACTGGTGGTCCAGGTGGCCTGTGACGTGTGGTGACCAGGGAACTTTGAAGGAACACTTGTTTCATGGGTTTTCCAAACAAACCAGGCAAATTCCTTTTGCAATAGCTCATTGCTAGAACACAGGGTAGAGTTTGGATCCATCCAGCTCAGACTCTGGAAAGATATCTTGCCTCAGTTTCTTTATCTGTAAAATGGGCTACCAGCAATCCTTTCCTCAGAGAGTGCTGAAAATAGACAAGATTTGCACCTTTAACTGACATCTGAGTGGCAGTGCTTTAGGCAGCCCAGCTCCTGCTAGAGGCCTTGAAATCTCCCTGGAATCCCCTTTTCCCCTCCAGGCCTCTCCTGGCAGAGCAGACAGGCAGCTCTCTTCCTCTAATCCCCACCCCACTGCAGCCTGGGGTACCTCACTGAGATCTGAGGAGAAGAGAAGGCTGGGATTGGGGCAGAGACACCTGGCAGGGGTCCCTCCTGGGGGAGAACACAGGCAAGCCCCTCTCTTTCGGCCCTGAGCAATGGGGACTTTGCCTACTGAGTGCCTTCCTACTTTGATCTGGAAACCACAGGCCACGCCCAGGACTCTGCAGCCCTCTGTGTCTCCACTCTACCCCAGCCCTCTTCCAGGTCAGCCTGGCCTTTGGCCCCAGCTCCTCTGACAAGAAAAGAGGGAGGAGGGCTGGCCACCCCCATCCCAGACCGTTTTTAGCCCCCTGGGAACTCGGCGTCCTCCCAGCAAGGGTGCGTGGGTCGTGGCAGGTATTAATAGCTCGGCTGGAGGAGGTGACAGAGACTCTCACAGCCAAACTTGAGGCCTCACATCCTGGACAGACAGGGCAGCCCTCTTGTCCCCACTTTCCCTGCTGGTTCTAAACTCCTCTATTCCTGTACCCAGGGGGTTCTCTCACCCTCAAGCCCCCATGCCCAGTTGCTCCTTAGTTGAATCTTCCTGTGGTCCCCTTGAGAAATGGAGACCTCTTGGGTCAGGGCCCTGGTGGGTTGGTGCCTGAGGCTGGTTTGTGACCAGGCGCCGTGGGAGACAAGAACAGAGACGCCTGTGTTAAGGCTTTCTCCCTCACTCTTCACTGCTCTCTGCTCTCTCATTCCTGTGTGCCTACTCCAGCTTGGCCCCTCAACTGAGGCTGTGGCCTTGACCCCACAAGTCTGTTCATGCCAGGCTAAGCATTGAAAAGAGGCAGGAAAACCCAGCTGGAAAAAAAGGACCTGGGAAAAGAGCCTGGACACAGCTGCCTGCACACTGCTGGGGTGGGTTTTCCTCTCGGGGGCATCTTGGAAAGGAATGGGGTGCTGGGTTGTGACTGGGAACTGATAGCCTTGGTCATGAGGCCTGTGCCATGGAGACAGGGAAGGGGCACAAAGCCACACCTGTCTTGAGAACTCATTCTCACTCTTTGCCCCCACCTGCCTACTCTGCAGCCTTCAGTCTTGGGGCCAGATTGGCAAGGCCAACAGGGTCAGTGCGGGGTGGCCCCCAGTTGAGAAAGGGCTATCTGAGGCCTGTGGGGAAGCACCTCTCAAGAGCAGGCAGCCAGTGCTGGAGCTTTGGGAACAGGACCAAGTTCCAGTACTTTCCATGGATGCTTCTGTCTTGCTTAGTGTTCCCAGGAAAGAGGAAGGCTTCTGGGTTTCTGGGGGTCTCCTCTACAGTTAGCCTAATTCTGACCTCTCACCTGAGTCCTGACCCTCACACCAAGCTTGGCTCTCCATCCTCATCAGATCTGAATAGTGTTCCCTGACCTTTAACCCCTGAGTTGCTAAGCAAGACTGAAGCCCAAACCTTTGCTCGCTGACCACAGCTCTAGTTTAAGTCTCAGCCCAGAGGCTACATGGAACGTGGGCCACCGACCTATGACTCCTACCCCAGGCCTGGGGAAACTGGTCCTCCCTGAGCCTCTATCCTGGGCTTGCTAGCTCCCCAGCTCTGACTTTTTCAACCCAGAGGAGGCCCTGTGTGCTCCCCACAGACACTTTTCCCTGAGCCTCAAAACAAGGTGACATAGGGAACACATCATGCCAGGTGATTTGTGACTTGGCTGAGCAGAGGCTGGGAACATGTGCTATTTCTGTCTGGATCTTACTGCTTTGGACCCAGGGCAAAGCAGAGTCCACAGCAGAGGGGAGGAATGGGCAGAAAGACACTCAAACACACACACACACACACACATACACACACACACCATGTGGGGCCATTGGGTGACATGAGTGGGACCACACTCGCCTGGTGCAAAGAGGCAGGCATCCACACACCCCAACCTGGAGGAAACAAATCATGATAAATAACACACACACACACACACACACCCCAAACCTATTTTTCTTTCTAGCCCAAGAACCCATATTCTTTGTGTCTCAGAGTGGAAATTGCCTCATTCCTACCAGCAACGAGACCCGAGCAAGCTGTTCAACCTCTGCCTGCCTCCAATAGCTTCAGCATCCTTACCTGCACCATGGGACGGTGACACTGCCTTCCTCTCCACAGTTTATAAGGACAAAAGACAAACGAGGAGCCAGAACCCCTGCCTGGCATAGATTGAGAGTTCATCAATACCTACTAATATTGTTATCTGAGATCAAAGTTGAGCTGCTCTGGTTGTGGCGTCAGGATGCCCCCACCGCTCTGCCTCCAACACTCATCCTCACTCTGAGCCAAGACCTCCACCCAAGGCCTCCTGAGCGACAGTTTCGAAACCTTCACTTAGAGTCGAGGCTGCTCCTGTTACAGGAGCAGGAAGAGCATAGAATTTGTCCACATGAAATTAGGTCACAGAATTCTTAAAACAGAGAAACTGCAGATGCCCAAATAGCTCAGTATCCCAGGGTGCAATGCTCCCTTGATTTCCTGGGCCAAGAATGGCATGAACCAACCAAAAAGAAGGGGTTTCTACCTCACACAGCCTGGGTACCCTCAGCTCTTTCCTGGGTTTTCTGCAGCGGACTTTGCCATGCCCTCAAATCCCCTCATTTCCTGGGGACTCCCTTCTTCTACCAGCTCTGGTGCCCTGAAGCCCCAGCCGTTCCTAGAGTGCTCCAGTGTGGCCTGGCCACCCTCTTACTGACCTACTGGGTAAATTCTTGGGGTAAATCCCAAGGGTCTGTTTCTGCTGCTCTGAGTCTTTGGGGCCCTGCACAGTGGGATCCTGACATGCTGGCCCTGTCCCCCTGGTCTCCCTACTCTCCCAAATGAGTAAGAATTTGGCACCTTGGGAAGAAGGTAAGGAATTACCCATTCGTGGGCACCTACTGTGCACCAGGGTTTTACGTCTACCATCTCTGTTCCAGGAAATTAAGGGCCAGACAGGGGAGTGACAAAATCAAGGCCACCCAGCTGGGAGGTGGTGGGGAAGCTGATGTTGGTGTTCTGAGAGGGGAGATGAGGAGTCAGGTCTCAGCTGTCAGGTGGGCTACTGCTCAAGAAGCAGCAGCAGAGACCCTGCACCCCAATCTCTAGGAGGTGGCCCAACATCCACCATGGCTGGCTGAGCCCCATCCTCTGGTGACAGTCCCACATGACCTTTCCAGGTGGCTAATGAGGGCCCAGGCACCACTCAGTAATTGACCTCATTAGGCAGCTAGGACTGCCCAGGGGATAGGGTGGCGGATGCTGGGCCCCGTGGGGACAGGCCAGACAGCCGCCCGTTAATTACCTGAAAAATCAGACAATTAGGCTTCCTGCCACCCGCCTGCCCACGTCCTGCTGGCTCCTAATTACTGAGCGGCTACTGAGCAGGCTGGGAATGACCTGGATTTGGACCAAGGATCAGTTCCTGCCATCTCCCGCACCCTCCACCCCCTGCCTCCATCACAAGCTGCAGAGACAGAGACTTGGGGTGAGGTGCATCTTTCAGGCATCATCCCCTGTAGCCCTTAACTGACCTCCATCCCCCTTTTCCAGCCTTGGGCTGTTCCATCCACTATCTCTCCTACCTAAGGCAGCTCTGGAGGAGAAGAGATGGATGCCCGAAACCTGGACTGTCCTCAGGGAAGAGTGTGTGCTGATGAGAGGTTAATAAAGTGACTGATGGCCCTTTCTGCCTGGATCCTTCAGGGAAAAGATTCTGGACTGAGTTTAAGGAGTAGGGATGGCAGAGGAGAGGAAGAGTCCCAGGGACTAATGGGGAACTTAAGCCTGTCCTTGGAAAGCCCTCCCACTCAGAAGGGGAGATGGACTTGAACAAAGCACCACCAGTGTGCAGCTGTGGCGTTGGGGATGGGGTGTGGCGAGGGGCCTGGCTGGGTGGTCCCAGAAACAGTGACCTTTAGGCTGAGCTAGGTAAGGACACACAGTTCTAGGCAGAAAAACAGCACATGGGAGGATCTGGGGCTGGATTCTTCTTTTTTCTCTTCTTCCTCTTCCTCTTC